TAGCTAAGATATACTGTATAATACTATTAGTCTATATATATTAAAAAAGGCAATGAAAAGAATTAAAATTCTAGCTGACTTTATTAATATAATAATAAATTTGTTTAAAAATAGAAATTTAGAGTCATTATGAAACAATCAAATAAGCTCAATAATAGCAAAAAAAAAATTGATTAAAGAAAAACCATCTCCTTTCTGATGTGAAGAATATTCTATGATCCTTTTCTATGCAAGATTTAAAACAATGAAGAATAAAAATATAAGATAATAGTTTTTTGGAATCCAAATCTAACAGGAAATAATACAAGGAAACTAGAATTTCAATATATAACTATTGCCTTTATAGATAATACTATATGAATTGCTAGATTAAAAAAAAATATAGAAAAAATTCTGAAAAAAGCAAAAATTTTTTACAAGGCAAATGGCTCTTAAATCAATAGTAACAAATTAATACTAGTTACTATTAATAATTTCAACCAAAATCTGATAGAAGTTCAAGCAAGCATTATCAAAGAAATAATAAAAAAACTAGATAGCAAAGTTTCTAGGAATCTGGACAGGCAATCAAAAACCTGTAGTTGAGCTTAAGAAAAGAGTATTGAGAGAACTCAATATAATCATCAAAGCTCTAAAAAATAAAAAAGTAATAGAAAAAAAAAGCTCAATATATTGAATAGAGTCTTAATATCAAGAATTGGGATTTTAATGCAATATAGTATACTGCTTTGAAAAATATTATTTTAACAAAAGTATATAGAAAGTTCTTCAAGAATAAAACTGTTTTTAATAATTAACACTATATAGTGTTATACTGTATATCACCCAAAAATCCACAACTTGAAAAGTATCTAAGTGATACAAAAAAAATCAGATAATAAAATTATATAATAGACTCAATAATCAAAAACCAGCAGAAGTTATAACAGTTATTATACTCAAACAAGTACAAATCAAACACTGGGAGCCTAATAATATACTTATTTGTAACTTCTTATACTATTTATCAGACAGAGGCAACTTTATACTCCTAGTATTAAAGTTAGTTAGAAATATAGGTATAAATTTTTAGAGCTAGAAATAGTATAATATATTTGAATAAAATAAGAGAAATAGCTCAATTAATAAATGCCTTATATCAAATGAATACAAAAAAACTATATCTTCACTAAGAAACAATAGTTTAATATATATATATTAACTAATTAATATAGATACTAAAGAAATATGAAACTGATAAATATTACAGCTTATGTAGAATATAGATAAAGGATCAGTTCTAGAATGGTATCTATCAATAATCAAGACTATATAAGAAAAGGGAATAGAATAGCTTATTAGATCTTGGAATGTGAAATGAATAAAATTGAAACCAAAATATTCTATAGTGAAATAGGATCATAATAAATAACAAAAGTTATAAATTGTTATAGAAAACAAAGAGAATCAAGTTATCTGAAGAAAGTTAATGAGAGAATGCATAATGAATAATATAAAAATAGAGCATTTTAACTATTTAGTAGTTGAAGAATATCAACAAGCAACAAGTTTAATAAAATGCTTTGGGTATTCAAAAGGTATTAAGAAAAATAGCTATTGTATAATAACAGAAAAAAGGGATAAAGTATATATAATTTCATATCTCAATACTAGAAAATTAATCAGAAGAGCTTAAGTACTAAAGATTTCAAGAAGAAAAACAATATAAAAATAGAAATACTTAAAGTGGTAAAGAAGGATTAAGGATGGATTCAAGTTGTAAAGTAATAAATATAGAGATATAAAGCTGACAAGAAAGAATTATTAGAGATAATATAAAAAAAGATGTATATCAGGTTCACTTAATAGAAATATTTTATCAAAATCAAAAGTAAAATAAAGTAATAACCTTCTATTCTAATGGATTACTGGCTAATAATGGAAGTAAAGAAATGAAAATGAGTGTAACATAGATTCAAATAGAAGAAATAGAAAGACAAAGCAAATTTTAGGCAGAAGTAGAAAACTGGTTATTATTAATAAGGACAGAAGTAATAACAATAGTTACTATATTACTAATTGTTTCTATTGAAAGCAGAGTCAAGGTCTATACAGATAGTTAAGTCTATATCTTCAAATATAAGTAATAAAGAAAAAAGATTTTAAAAAGACACATAAAAAATAATTGAAAAAGAAAAACTGGTCTCTATAGATATAAATATTAAATTTTATAAAGAAAAAATACTTGAACCTAGAACTGATCAAGGTTAAGGTTCAATCTGATGATAAATACAATATAGAAGTAGATATTATGATCAAAAAAGTCCTTCAACTTTTTGTAATAGAATAGAAAGATCTCACATTATTCAAATTATTATAAAAATTAATTAAGTATAATACTGGATACTTTAATAAAACAATACATCAAAAATGTAAATGACAAACAACAGCTATCAATAGATACAACAGAATAGAATCTAGAAAAATGGAACTAACAAATATAAGATCAGTATAAATATATATGAAACCTTATATAGGATAGAATGAAGGATAAATGTATATAAAACTCTTTCTTTAAAGACTTTACAAAAAAAGTTTTCTTGTGAAATTGACAAATAATAAATTATTGATTCTAACAAAACTAACAATAAGAAAACATGATCTTTACAAACAAGTAATATACAGTATATTGAGTGCAATAAGAATGCAGAAATAGTAAACTATTTATTAGAATGCTCAGTATATAAAAAGCAATTGCAAGAAACATGGATGAAAGGATTAAAAGAGATATTAAAAGAATTTAAGAAACTTTTTCATGAGAGACAAGAAAAAATAAAAGAAAAAGATATATAGCTAATTATAAAAGATAAAGGAAAAATAAGAAAACTAGACAAGCTAATCTTCAAACTTATAGAAGAAGTCTTCAAAAGTGGTTATGGGACATTAAGCTTTTGTATGAAACTTTAAAAAGTAATTGACTTATTATAATAGATAACTCAAATGTTATAGTAAAAAAATAGTACAAAAAGTTTATAGATAAATTACAAAAATATAAAAAAAGATTTGTAATCACATCTAGAAAAAGATCTGAAATAAAAGATGTACAATAATGATTGAATAAAAATGGTTCTGAGAAATTAATAAAAAGAATAAAGTAAGAAAATCAGATTGAAAAGTCCAAAAGATCAAGATCAAAATTAAGAAACTATCAATTTTTGAGGAAGAAAGATTAAATAACAAGAATTTGAAGTGGATCTTAGCAAAAGAAATTAAATATAAAATAAATTAATTTGATTTTGATCTTTGTCAGAGCTTTATAAAATGATCTGCAGTAATAATCTGTAGGTAATAATATTAATAGTTCAAAAGATATTCACTTGATTGTTAATAGAGCAATAAATTACTTCTGAAGTTATATTTAAAATAACAATATTCAAGATGAGTAAGTTAGTTAAAACTTTAACTTTAGCATCACATTGATATGTAAAGTCTACAAAATATTTAAAAAAGTATATGTAAATAATCTAATAGAGAAAAAAAAAATTAGAATTAAAATTTTTATATTATAATATATATATATTTATATATGAACAAATCAAAATTTTAGAAGAATGTCTCAATGAATATCATAAAATCAAATTAGTTATTATAAAGGTAAAGGTAATAAAATTTTTTATTAAAGAATAAGAAAAAGTTTTCAGAAAATGAATATAAAACAATTAATTATTAATAGTAATTAATTAAAAAAGAATACTAAAATTATTTAAAAAATAAAAAAATATAGAAAATAATCATACAGGATCAATAACAAAGATAACATGACCTTGGAAGAAGAAAAGGCTCGATTTCAATATCCAATAAAGTGTTATAACTCAGAAAAGTCTTGAGAAAATTATTTATAAACAGATCATAAAAAATGATAAATAGTTGGATTTTTAATCTGTTAAATAGAACTCAGAAAAATAGAACTTTATTAGTATTGAAGTGTAAATTGATTGTTGTCAGAAAATAGTTTTTTTTAGCCACGAATAAGTAGATTTTATTAATGCAAGGCATATTTGTGTAACATTGTTTTCCTATAAAAATATGCAGTAATCAATAAACTAATAATTTGAAATTATTGAAACCACAATATTTTGACACATTTCTATTAAGAATGTAAAGATCTCTATGCAATTCGAAATAATAGTTTATAAATAAATGTTACATTGTATTTATTCAGTGAAATCATATCATTCAAAATTTACATTAATTGATAGTTGATTGTTTAAAATCTTGCATTGCTATTCTACTTGAAAACCGAAATTCTCGCAGAATATAGCATGAAAGAAAAGTATAATTCATCCCCGAACAGCATTTTCTGTCTAGTTTATGTATAATTGATCATCTAGAGAAAAATTCTCGCAGGGTGTTTTACTTGTTCTCTAGTGCATGCTCCGAAACTTCGCTTTCAACTTGCGAATTCGGCTCTCAGCATTCCACAATTTGAATCGATAACGAATTAAAGGGTGTAGGAGTTTTACATCGACTAACTGTGTCCCTTAAGCGTTCTTGAATCAATTTGTGTAGTGATCCATTTTGTTGCTCTTCCTTACGCAATGTTCACTATCAAAATTTGGAACAAGTTAACATAATATTACGAGACAAAATGAACTAAATCATTGCATCTTAAACAAAGTATTCTATTTACCCAAAATAGAAGCACTTTCTATGGTCCAATAATGACCTTTTTAAAGGCGTTAGGTCGATTTGCTGATAATAATTTATTGTAAAGAAAAACTTCAGTAAATTTAAAATTTCTAAGGAATATAAACATAGAAACCAATTAAATTCATACCATATTTCGAATAAGAAGTACGATATGCAGCGATTTTTGACTGGTGGTTTGCTAATAAATAAGTAAGTTACTAGTGCTTCTAAAATAACCCCAATACACAAAAACGAAACCAATAACAAAACTAATACGCGGGAATATTTCAAATGTTTCCCATTTTCTGTTTGACGGCTTTCCACCGAATTACCTCTTATGTAAGGATGATGTCTCCTCGGAAGCACTTGATTCTTCTTAGGTCTATCAGGTTTAATAAAATGCCATAATATATCCTCATATAGATCAGCAGGAAAGATAGGTCTATAGGGAGATACTTTGGAATCAAAATCATCGGCTGACATTTGAAAAAATCGTATATGAGGCAAGAATTCTTGTATAATCATGCTTAGACTGTCAAAATCCCGTTGTTGCCAATCGGCCACATCATCCGGCAACAGTTCATCTTTCATGGTTCCCCATAGTATGATCCGATACCATATTTCTGATTCGTCCATTTGTAACTCATCCTTTTGTAATATTGCCAGAAGAATTGAAGAATCTAAACTATAAAAGAGAGGTGACTCAAACAACATCCATGGTTGAGAACAAATTTTTGATATACAATAATTTTGAAGTTTTTTCCATGCGACATTTTGAAATGACGCAATTAAGATTTCTACAGGATGTTGCTGTACCAATGATTTTTGTGATTTTTGCATAAGAAAACTTTGAACATATTCAGTGAGAGCTGGTAGAATAAGTTCATCAGCCGTCGATAAAATGCCAAGGATGTGTTGTATTGATTTTCCTAACAAGTTTATCCGTGATGAATATATATACCTATGTGTGAAAATATGAATTGTCATCAATAATATTTTATATGAACGTGCAATGTATGCAATATATATATATACTTACAGAAGTATATCATCAAATATCTCTGGGGAAACATTTGGTTTCTCTAAAAACATTTGCCCGTCCTTCATTTTTCCCCATTGAGCTGAAAGTGCGGTGCGGAAATAAGGTGTCTGGGCACGTAGAATAAGCGAGTGTACTTTAAAAGTTTTTATGTCCTCCCCACTACCAACGGCAATAGAAACATCACAAGTATCTTTATCTTCAAGCAATCGCATGTAGTTTTGGGATACATTCTTCCATAATGTTTCTTCCATGGAGGAGGATTAAATATTGAAGTAATAATAATATACAGTATAAAGTGATTTAGTGAGGGAAGTTTTAAGGTCATAAAATTATTTATTTTGTATAGTGAATGACGATTCCCATAATCATGTGAACGAATTTAAAGATATTCTTACCTGATAGTATATTTATTGTTAAACAATTCATAGTTATTCGGGCGATCTCGGAATTGCTTAAATCAAAACAAATTAATTTCTATTTTATATTTTTATTTAATTTTTATATCTATAAAAAACTAATTGCTATTGTATCAATTATAAATTATATAATTACTAATATAAAGAAATTATAAAATTAATTTAATTTTATAAAAACTTAGTTTAATTTAATATTTTTTTTAAAAAAAATTACTGATTTTGTTTATCAAATAAAACTTAATAAGAAAAATATTTATTTCATAATTTATTGTTATTTTTTAAAAAAATTAATATTAAAGTTGAATTAGTGCTATATATATATTTTTTTTTTTTTTTTAACCCGCTGTCAGGCTAGTTATGTGCGCTTTATTAAACAAAAGTAAACTATACATACAT